ATTTCGGTATGAACAAGTTGGTTGCTATTTACTTTTTGATCATGACACATTTTTTTGAATGTCATCACGGTTTGGTGATAAGATTTAATGTAATATTTCAGAAAATAGTGATAAACATGCAATCAACTTAACATGTTTTTAGTGGTAAATTATTTCATTGAACATGAGTATGATATGCCCATATTCAGTGCTAATATCTTCCCGATGATTTAGATACTTGACATAAATGGATAACACTATAATTTTAGTAGAAGAAATTGAATAACAAGATGAATATTATGGTATGTATTCTTTTGCTAGGTGCATGTATTCTCTTTTCCAACATAAAGAAATTTGTCGTTGGTTTTGGTTAAAAGAATTTGCATGTAATGTATGTGCAAGAGTTTGATTGTCACGTGTTTCTTTTGGTTTATTTGTGCTTGGATCAGCTGGATATGAGCCTGCTATTTTGTGAGCTAGAAACCAAACATTTAGGAAGTGTTATAAGTTCTTGTATTTTAATGGATTTGAGAATCCAAACCAAATTTAGTGTTATTAGTTCTTGTATTTTAAAATCTATATTGAAATACAGTGTTATTGGTTCTATGATTTTAAAATCTATAATGAAATACAGTGTTATTGGTTCTATCATCTTATAAAGATTATAAAGATTTGAGTTTTAATTGAATTTAAATGGATTTGTAAGGATTTTCATGACTAAAATACAAAAACTCAAATACAAGGTCTATTTGAGTGGATTTGATTTTTTTTCCATTTTGCTGATTTTGAAATCAATAAATTTATCAAATCTAAAGAAGATTTCTAAATCCACCAAAATACAAAACCAATAATCCCTAGTTAGTTAATTTGCGATTATTGTTCTCTTGTCATATTAGCTTATTATTGAAGTCTCTTATTTCTCATATTAATTTGAGTTTTCGAATGTTTCAAAATCTAGCTAGACATCAAATCTTTCTTTTCCCCCTTTTTGAAATTTAATTTGGATTTATATATGTAAAATTCAGAATGGGTTGTCCATAATCTTAATAGAGATGGTGCAATGCAATTTTATGGTAACTTGATTAAAAAGATAATCAACATATTAATGATGGTATATCTTTTATTAGTTTTGTATTTTTTTAATTTGCTATGAATTGTTTTATAGAATGGGGATGAATAAAGGATGAGGGGAAGAAGAAAATGTTGCTCGCTGATTGAAAAAAATACATTACAATTGTTTTCAAAGAGTCAGAAAAATATTGCTACCTTATCTAACATATATTAAACAGGAAGCATTAGTGGCTTATGTGTCATTATCTCTGAATTTTGAATTTTTTTCAATCTCAATAATGGTTAAAAACTTAAATAATTTATTTTTGCAACCAAACACAATCTTTCTTGTAAGCAAACAAAAACTTTTCTAATTATTTATTTTTTAATTGCATTTAATATTTTAAAAATCTACAATTAATATTTAGTTTTTTTGAATATAATTTAAACAATTCGATTTAAATAATTATGACTGAAAAATTAAGTGAATCTTTGTTTTTTTTAAATATCTAATATATATTCAACAAAAAGCATTAGCTTAGGTGTCATTATCTCTTTTTCTAATATTTTTTATTAACTTTTTTGTGTGCTATCCTTATTACCAAACACTTTATTTTCAATCAATTAAATTAAATCAAATTTAAATCAAACCAATCACAAATAATTCGATAATTTCATTGGTTTCGTAAATTAAATTATTTACCTGTTTTATTAATGGAAATGAAAATTATTTCCATGTTTTAGATCTACGAATATTTATTGTTTTACAACAACTTTGATTCACATATTATACAAATGGAAAAAGAATATTAATTTTCGAATCTTGGGACGAAAGTAAATGTAAATCTTGCTTTGTATAAGTTTAACTTAAAAATAAAAATAACTAAATTTTCTCAAATCTCGACTAAACATTTTTGGATACTCAAATATTTTTAGAAATATTACCCTGCACAGATGTGCAGGTAGTAACCTAGTTAATTTTAAAAGTAAGAACAAAAGAATGAGAACAAATAATCAATAATTGTAATTAAGTATGTGACTTGAAACACATTAAACAACAAAAATGGTTTATAAAATTTTATAACAACATAAAAATAATATTCCACACTTGGCATAAATCAAAAATTTGCCTTGAATAAAAATTTAATTTTCTTGAAATTTCTTTTTGAATTTGATAAATTTTATATGTTAGAATTTTGATCGGAAAAATATAACATGCACATGGAACGTATCCAAAACCTAGTATAATTTAAAATTTCTTCAAAAAAATAACATGAACCGTTGTAAAAGCTAGAAAGAGAAAAAAGTAAATATTATCAGTTATTGAACATCCTTTTACAGTTTGTTCCATTTTGATCTAAATCAAGACCAAAATGTTAGTGTGTAGCAATCTATAGAAAACACTAATAAATATTTTATACAAAATGAAAACGCTAATGATTTAATTTTACCAGGCTTAAATTTAATTTTAATATTTAGATGTTGGTTAATTTTTTATATATTTTGTGCAAAGATTAGGTGTTTACACGATGCATTCCTTTGCATTTAACAACAATCACGAAAACTATTTTTATCATTAGATATTTAATCAATTTTTTTTATTTACAGTGTTTTATGATATATGGCTCTAAATTAAAAGTTATATTAAATATTAACAAAATTTCAAATAACTTTTTTTAAAAAAATCAAAATATAATATTTGACTTTATCATGAAAATAAATATAGTACATTAGATTACCTATTATTATTTTTCTTTTCAATAAAAATTCTGATAAATATTTGTTTTAAAATTTATGAAATCATATTTTATAAAATATTTATGTAGCTCTCCTCTCATCTCTTCATCTAATATTGAGGAATTGGTTTGATCGAGAAAATAAATTTCTTATGATTGGACTGCACGTATGTTTATTATAAAATTTGACTTGCACGTGCATTTATTATAAAATTTGACTTGCACGTGCATTTATTATAAAATTTATTTCTTAAGATTTTTAAATGACTCCATAAAATAAAGCACGAGGGTTTTACAGAAAAACAAAACTGTAGAGATTTATTTTTATTTTTTACTTATACTTATACTTATTATTCATATTTTCTTATCTTATTATAATTTATTTTTTATCTGATTATTTTTGTTTTATTCCCAATCTCAAATTCACGATCTACAATAAGGCTGTATATGAGTATGATATAAATTTTATTTATTTTTAAAAAGATAAAAGATAAAATGAGATGGTAATGGAAGCAATGTAGATTACACAAAAATAATAATTTAAAAATATTAAAAATTATATACAAATAATAATATATCATAATCTCAATATATAAAGTATTTACTATCCCATTGGATGATATATTAGTATTTTCTTTCTTTTCTATATAAAAATATAATACATATTGGTTGTAAAAACTTTATAATAATATTTTATGCAATCTATTTACAAATATTGAAATCATAGTAATTATCATTTTCTATTAATTTAAGATTATTAATATTAGCGTTATAATCTAATGTATTTATGTATTTCATAATTTAAATAATTTTAATTCAGCCAATCAAAATATTTCGTTTATTTTAGGAAATTTGACATGTCACATTTATATGTCATCATTAGAATCCACTAACTTTTATTAGGGGTTATTGGTTCTTGTATTTTGGTGGATTTATAAATCTTCTTTGGATTTGATAAATTTATTGATTTCAAAATCAGCAAAATAGAAAAAAATCAAATCCACTCAAATACCAAGGTTAGACCTTGTATTTGGGTCTTTGTATTTTAGTCATAAAAATCCTTCCAAATCCATTCAAATTCAATTAAAACTCAAATCCTTATAATATTTAGATTCTAAAATGATAGAACCAATAACACTGTATTTCATTATGGATTTTAAAATCATAGAACTAGTAACACTGTATTTCAGTATAAATTTTAAAATACAAGAACCAATAACACTGAATTTGGTTTGGATTCTCAAATCCATTAAAATACAAGAACCAATAACACCTCCTTACTCTGGTGTGGACAACTCAGTTTTTTCTAATAATTTTCTCAAATAATATGTAGGAGATTTTAGAAGGTATCACTCATATTTTGTTCATGTTGTCTCAGTTATAAGTAATAGCTATGTATAAAAATCACATTGTACTATTTATTATATTTCGAGTGTAAAGGTACTTGTGTAGTATTTTTTTTGTTAATTTATAAACTACACAACCAATGTATAAGCTTTGTAAATTTAAATAACATGTTTAATTTAGAAACTCATATAACCTACTACTTTACATGATTATTCATAGTCAATACCAATGTTCTAGAAATTAGAATTTTTTAAAACTAATTTCCGTTTAAAATTTTTTTTGTTAGTTTACATCTTTTGATAGTCATTTTGTATTTCATTTTAATATATACAATTTTTTGCATGTTTGATATTCTTAATATATATATATATATTTTTTAGTTAAGCTCTTTTGTTGTTGATTTTTAAATTGGGTAGCATATTTATCAATTTAATTTCTTTTACATAAAAGATTTTTCTTTGTTAATTTTTTTAGTAATTTTTATTTTAATTAAATGCTGATTTGATATGCTATAATTGATTATTCTGAAATTTATGTGGACTTCTCTCAAAAGGTTATAACAATACTGTTTTTTTTAAAATCATTAGGTTAAATCTTTATCTTCTTTTCTGTTAGTTAAGTTTGGTATATTACTTAAAAAAATTCTCTTACTTAAACATTTATTAATAATTAGCATAAATATCAAGTTAATTTGTTTCTGATGGATATGATATCTGGTGGATTGTTTGTTCTGGCTATGAAAAGTTTGGAACAAGGTTGAGTTTGATGTAAAACATTTTTTTAATTGAATAAATTTAACATTTTCTTTTAATATATATATATATATATAATGTTATATAGTTTTTGTGGCGATTAATCAAAAGAATTTATTTCATTTACCAATTAATATCATTCGGCCACCAGGTTCAATAGTACATCAGACCATAAAGATGACGTCAAAGCCGCATGGACATCAATACTCCCTTCTTCAACTCCTCGAAACAATACAAGTAAACCACCAATACCATTACCCAGTCCAGCTCGAGCCGCAATTGGTTTTCCCCAACCGAAATCATGATCGTATACTTCAAACCATGGAGAGCTAGCAACGATCAAAGAATTATCAGCTATTCTACTTCCAACCCCTATTTTGGGGATCTTAACATTCCTAACCCAATTTTCAGAAAAAGATTTATAACTTTCATTCGTTTGTGACCTCACAGGTTTACATATTTGCAAAGCAGTCCAGCCCATCCCATGATCCAACAAGTCTCCCACAGTGGTTGTAGCTATCGCGAGATCGGTCAAATTCCCAAAACACTCTTTCTCGATAAGAGGGTCTAGCCTCCGCCTCATATCCGCCGCTACTTTGCATTGTGTTTCTTCTTCTCGTTTGAGACCACTGTGTCTAATGATTGATAACCATATATATGCTAAAACCGCTTGAAGAGAAGATATTTTCGGATCAATGGAGCCAACTTCTTCGTTGGCTTTCGCTTTGAGATATGAAATTTTCTTCTTTGAGAAATGAAAAACTCTCTCTTTAGTTGAAGTTTCACTATTTAGGGGCCTCTCCGTCTCTGAAACCGGAATATGTATCGGGTAATCAATCTTGTTGAGAAACCAATCTTTGAGAACAAGAGGCTGAAAATTAGAACTTGAACCGGTCTGACAAATCTTGGACCAAGTGTGGAAGAACTTCAACTTCCAGAAAGAAGAGCCATCGGCCACCATGTGATTGTAACCAAAACTGATGAAAACTCCATCTTTCATCTCGGTAACTTGCAACGCAAGTAATGGCTCTAAGATTAGGGCGTCATGGCTTTCGACATTGTTTGCAGGGAAGAAAAGCGTTATGAAATCAGGAACAGAGCCATCAGTCTGGACGAGATCATTCATGGAGGCAGATTCGGCTTTGGCATGGACGAATTTGGCGCCTGAGCCGTCGCAGTCGATGTAAAACGACACCGTATTGTCTTTGTGATTTTCCACTTTGACAAGACGACCAGCGAACGGGATATAAATCTCCAAGGCAGTCGACCTTTAATCGAGGGATGATAGGGGTTTCCGGGTCGGGTTTGGGGAAGAGAAGACCTCTTTGAGGATAAACAAGATAAAGAAGGTCAAGATCATGTGGAGTAAGATGGATCTTAGCTCGACCCGATTTGTATATGTTTTTGGGTCGGACTATGCTTGAAGAAATCATGGTCACGTCTACCATTTTGCGTATGTACAGAAGAAGATGCAAAATTTTGTCACACCGAAAGAAATTATATAGGATAGACACACAAAAGAAAACTTTATCTTTAAAGCTTGGTGCTCAACCTTTTGTCCTTTACGTTGATTTATATATATATATATACTATTTTCTTCTTTAGAATATGGACATTCGACGTTTTGCTTAATTTTTGTCGTGAACATGCGGATAACGTGAAGATTTCTGTTTACTTTAAAGAAAAAAAGGAGGACATTGGACATATATATTTATACTCTGGAACATGTGAAATAGGACAATATTGGACAAATATATAATATATCTGAACTTTAGAAAATATGAAAAATGTGACGGATTTTTGATGTTTATTCGGGAGAAAATTTCGGGATGCCACGTGAGGGTGTGTGATTCGTTCGAGAAATGCAGTTATATCTTCGAGTTTCGTTCTTTAGGAAAAAGGCAATGAGGCGTTCTGGGGCGGTAGCTGATTCAAGTCCCATCGGTTGAGTGGTAAATATGTTCGATCCTACAAACACTACACAAAAGGTCAATCGGGCTGTCGGAAAGACCGAAAGGTGGTTTCCCTCTCAAAGGTTCTCCGACACCCAAGTCAATGAACGTCCTACCGAGAACGAATACTCAGGAGGGTATCTCTACGGATTTGGGTGAGAGGTTTCGTCCGGGGATCGAGACTTCTGTCAGCTTATGAGTGTTAAGAGGGGGTTTTCTATCTGAAGAGAGAGCATTCTGCGAGTATAAAGGCAGGATTCCAGGTTAAGAAGAACTTATCCTGGAAGACATTGCCTCGAGGAAACGGGGAAGTTCTCTCTTGGTCATACTATTTTAGCGGTGGAAGTCGGCGCAGGGTGGTCGGGCCTCTTCTGGTCGTGTCCGGATCAGCCAAGCTGACCTCCTAGACCGGGCCTCTCCCCCGATCCCTTTCTTGTTTGGGGATCCATTTCCTCTTATACTATACTTCTTCCTTGTCCTGTCCTCTCCATCCGGCGCGCCAGAAGAGCAGGTGAGTTACTGATTCATGCGTGTTTGGGGAAACTCGCCAACTGTCAAGGAATAGTGCATGAGTGGTTCGGCCGAGTTTATATGGTGTGTGTCAGTGTTTAGGGCAGCATATCGTCCACGTGTCGCATCCTTCATGGGTGCGGTAAAATCGGTCCTAACAGTTGTCCCCGACTTCTCGACTGATTGAGGAATGAGTCAGGAGTCAACTTCTTTCGGGTTTCCTGTGCAATAAACATGGGTTATCCGGTTTTCTAAACGTTTCGCCATTAAAGGCTAGGCTGACGCGAGGACCTTACTGTGTATCCCGGGGGATACGGTACTAGTCTCGGTGAAGCTAAGTTCTTAAGGACTATATTTAAGATAGGGACTCATCCAGGCCGTGCTACGTTCTAATGGAATACAGTACTAGCTAGGAGGTTCGGACTTCCGAGGAAGTAAGGAGAAAGGCATCAACTCTGACCCTGCCATGCATCAAAGAGGAGTACAGTTCTATTCGGAGGAGTAAACGAAAAAAGGATCTCAACCCCAACCTTATTCGTATGTCCCGGGGGAGCTTATATTTGGTCGAGAGAATTACACTTCCGGAGAAGCGAGCCGCTGGGCAGCCTAATAGATGACAACTCCGGCCTCACTCGCATCCAGGAGAAGTACGTTATTGGCCGAAGAAATTACACTTCCGAGTGAAGCAAACCATGAGACGGTCAGACTAAATGTATAAAAGGGGCTCGCCTATCTCCGTCACGCATCCAAAGGAGTGCAGCGTCGGCCGGGGGAGTTAGGTGATGGGTCCTACCTTTACTGGAGTGCGGGAATACGTCATTTGCTTTAGATAGGAGGATATTGGCGCTCCTGAAGGAACTGATAGCTTGGCCACTAGTGGACATCTCCCTGGAGGGATTTTACTTTTTGTTTCCTCAGACACTAGACAAGAAGCTGTCTTGCCCCCTCTCATCGGGGTCATGAGTGAGGTTATAGTCTCATGTCACCATGTGGATCGCCATGACACAACGACACGGGCTAAGACACCGGCCCACTGGCCAGTGGTGGTGCCGTTGAACAGATGAATAGATGTTCTCTGTGTTGCGGGGTGCTAACGTAAGGGGAGTCGCTACTCGAATGCAGCTGGTGCGGAGTAGGGCGTTTTCCGAGGGCATTAACTAGACTCCCTTACTGCCTGAACAGTCTTCGTGTTGTGCTTACGCCGAAGTTTCCGGATTTTGAGAATTTGCTTGTGACATACCCCGGATGGGGAGAGTCCGAGGAAGTTATAAGGAAGAGGAAGCCTGCGAGTCGGCGACCTCAATTCCTGTGGTGCCTGAGTGGCAAGCATGTCCTTGGAAAGAGCATGCTGTTCTGTCGCACGTCCCGGAGGCGTGAGAGGCCGAAGCCTTATACTCCTGGAAGAAGGATGGCCCAGAGGACAAGCAAGTCTGCGGGGGAGCATGCTCGGTGTACGCGCTATCTCCGGAGGGAGCTGGCACAAGATGGGCCACTGGACCCTGCTGGATCGGACCCCTAAATTCCCGGAGGAATGGTGCCCAGTATGATAAGCAAGTCCGCGAGGGGGCATGCTAAAAAGAGGTTTTATAGAAGGGTATGCGAATTAAGAGACATATAAGGAGGGCATGCAAATGAAGAAGGGTGCAATTGTAACGATGGTGAGGAATCAAACTGCTACCTGGACAGGATAATCATCACGCGTGCAAGGAATTACATAGTCATGTAAGTAAAAGTCGAATAATCATGCAAGCAAGAAATCGAATAATCATGCAAGCAAAAACTCAAACAGCCAAGCAAGCAAGAAATCAAACAATCAAGCAAGCAATAAATCAAACAATTAAGCAAGCAGGAAATCAAACAATCAAGCAAGCAAGAAATCAAACAATCAAGCAAGCAAGCAATCAAACAATCAAGCAAGCCAGAAGTGCAGCCTAGCGGGCCGGTCACGGGCGGTGATTGTTTTTGAGACAACCACATTTCGTCCACAGCTGCGAGTTCCGTACAACCCGCCGCGAGGCTAGAGGTGCCAGGGTGGTTACATTTGACCCATCCACGTGACCTCTGTGCAACCCATCCCTAAAGCTATTTCCGCCCGGTGGAGGATGACAGTTTTTCTGTAGGGGCGCGAGTTTCATACTGTTGTGACTTTTCGTCAGTCAATTTTGCTATGGTTTTTGCAGACCGATAGTTGTCAATTGGGCTTTTTGGGCTGGCCTCTAGTGTAGGGTGAGTGCAATCCATATGGCGAATTCTTATGGCTTGAGGTTTGGCGAGTCAAATCGTGCAGGGTGCTGTGCTCCCCAAGAACCGCCGGTTGCTTTTTCTGCTACGACGGGCCGCCTGTTTCTCTCTGTATTAAATGCACGTCATCTCGAACGCTCGGCTCAAGACACTAATAATTATGAGACTGCCATAAACTTTTGGCTTTCCATGACCGACGCAGTTTTTCTCGCCTGTCGCTTTGATTTCTTCCTCCTTCTATAAATTCCGCTGAATCCACGCCTTCAAGGTCTCACTTCATTTCCAAAACAATTCGCGAAAACGCTTCTTCTTCAACTATCTCTTTTTTTCTGCCTTTCATCCCTCTTCTCGTCCAGTTGAGATATCGGCATCAAGTTCATCATTCGACGAGTAGCACGCGCACTTCTCGTGGTCTGACGGCGATGTCAAGAGCATTGCTCGAATGCCTCCTCCAGCCACTCTGTGTGACTGGCCTCCGTCGGTATGCACTCTGAACTCTTCGGAGAGGGTCCTGAGGGCGAACGACCCCTCTTCCGACCTAGCCCCCATATTTCCTGGCAAGGGGGATCATGCTAATTTTCCACTGCGCTACTGCATTGGCATCCATGACAATAACATTTTATATGGCTTTTGGGGCAACCTTTCCTAGATGTTGGTAGATTTCTGTTGCCTCGTCGGCATCTGTCCCAGCAAGCTTCACCCTTCGGCATAAGGGCTCCTATCAGCTTATCAGGTTCTCTCGGACCTGTCTGAGATCTGCATATGCGGCTCCACGGTGCTGCTGTCGTATCAGCTTTGTAACCTCACCGCCGACGCCCTTCGCTACACCTTGCACACCAGGGACGAGTGCGTTGCCTCCATTCTTAGGGACCGCTCGGGGAGCCACGACTAGCGCGAGTGGTACTTCTTCTGGATGGTGCCGCCGGATGTCAACGTCCAGCTCACTTGGCACCCACACGGTAGGAATGGTAAGCGTCACTTTGTCCTTTCCATGTTTGCTTTGACCGCTTGATCTGGCCTTTGACCGGGGCTTCTGTGTTGCCAGGTTCCGCGATGCCGTCAGCCTTCGAACAGGTCGAGCTGCGTTGGCTACTCGTGCTGGATGAGCGGTTCAGGTCGTTCGACTTCCTGCTCTCGCCGACGAGTATTATGGCGAGCTCTCTCATCCTACCGTCTCGCGTGACACCGGATATCTCAGGTAATGATCTTGACTTTTTCGCTACACTAGCTTCGCAGGTGCCACTTTTTAATTCTGCATCTGCAGGTTCCACGGACGGGATCGAGGAGGTTTGGGGTCTTTATGCTCCCAGGGGTCAACTGCCCAACTCAAGGCTTACCCGGAGTGTGTGAAGGACGCCTGTGCAAACACCGCACCAGAGGCGTCGTGCTGATTCCCCCGCCGGGAAGGATTTTTCCTGGCTCT